AGAAGCACAGCTCAGAGCTATTCTTGATGGGATATTACTTGCCAAAAGCTTTGGATTTTTAGACATTTAGGTTAAGGCAAACTCTAGTGTAGCAATTCATTGTATCATCAAAGGTGAAGGACCATGGGCTATTCAGGGCATACTCAGAAAGATTATAAAAAACACCTCATTCGATAAAGATACAATTTTCCACATCTTCAAAGAAGGAAACCAGGTTGCACATGCTCTTACTGCAAAGGGTTGGAATCATCGGCGATATCAAGTATACGGACCATCTGACCTACCACGATAAACTAGGGCACTCGTACAAATAGATAGACACGGACTGCACAGCATTAGAACATGAATTATAATTTTACTTTTATTCATATATTATTCTTGTTTTGTCTTTAATTGCATCAGTTCTTATTATAAGGGAAGTAGTACTTTCTCTTTTACAACTTTACATTTATTTTGTTTTTAGCATTCATTTCCATTGTAAGGGAAGTAGTACTTCCTCATTTACTCCTTTCAGCATTTTCACATGTAATCATGGTATTCGTTCTCCACAAGTGAAAGCATATTAATAAAATCTCGGAGGTACCGCCCTCCTTTAACCAAAAAAAATAAAAAAAATACTAAGCTCCAATTTGTCACCCATTATATGGAAAATTAAAGAGATATTAATAGTATTTTTTGGAGAATGTATGGTTAAAAGACAAAGGAGCTTTATTGGTTTGTGTGTAGAATATTTTAATGTGTAAATGTGCGGTGGAGAATGATACTATAGTAAACAATTTTAAATTTTCTAGGGAGCCAAATAGGAACTAAATATTCGTCAATAATTATTATTTAGTTTTACACCAATATAATCTATTCTTTAGGTTTAAACTTTTTACTTCAGGTTACTGAGCAATAGTTTTTACATTAACGTATGTCATCTAACATGATTTTTTTTCATTTTCATATTAAAAAAGTTATATTTTACTAGAACTAATAATCCGACTTCTTGTAAAAAGATTTATAAGCCTTTATTTTAGGCTGGAAGTTTAAATTTTATTTCTAAGGGGGGTGGGTTGGGAGTTTTCAACTGGTAAAACAGCCAAAACCGGCATTGGGTCAACTGGTTCCCGAATTAACCAGTTGATTAGTCGATTTTATCATGGTTTTTCATTAAGTGGGTTTACAGCTATGATCGAACCAGTCCAGTGTCAGGTTCCCAATTTTTTTTTTGGTCGAAACACCTTGTCCCATCTAGTTAGAACACTTATTTTACCTTTAAAATGGCCTCTAAAGCCCATTAAAGGACTCCACCTCCCTAATGGCTGATGATCACCACTTTAACTTCATCTTGTTTTGCTAGGATCATACATTTCTTTCCATTTTTATTTCCAAATGTATTTGAAATTTTGAACAGCTAATGAGTTAATTATTTGATTGTAATACAGGGGCTTCTTTCAAAAGCAAGCAACTTAACTCATTTTTAATGAATAAAATAATTATTTGTTAAAACTTAAAATATCAGAATAGTTGTGCAAACTGTGGACCAACCCAACCATCAAAAGTTGATCATCTTTTTGTTGAAGAAAAGATGATTGCAGATAATGTTGGTCGAGTTATTAGACCATGCCAAGTCAAGCCAACTCTGCCCACTTCACATGTATATAAATATTACTTAGTAATGATTAGTAGTTATCTTAACATATTTAATGTCATCTCAAAATATTTTGAGACATTGACAATCTTGTTTATTTAAATTGGTAGGTTACGTATGACTTCATTACTTTTTGACCTGTAGAAGCAACAAGAATTTACTTTAAGCAACCAAAATTCATCTCAACCACTCAGTCACCCATATTCGGCCTTGAGCACAAGAGAAATGAATAAAAATATTAAAAAAAAAAAAAAGGGATATGAGTGGATGGATAGGGTGTCTGTGCAGACAAGAATGGGTAATCTTGAGGATTCGAGCACGCATTCATATTTGCTTTATATTTTGGCAGCTTTTCTTTTCATTGTCCAAAGTTCCACTATACAATGAGTCAATAAAAAATATAATATTTAAGGCTCCTTTCTCCTTCAGCCATGCCATTTTTGGCTTTCTGTATGAGCAAGTTGCCAACTTGGAGCCATGCAGAGCGGTGTGTGAGTGTGTATATATATATATAATAGGTGTGTGTGCATTTTTTTGCAGGGTCAACGCTTCTTGGAATGAGATAATATTGATTAATATCATAACAACTAATCAGAGTATGTTTATTAATTATCATGTTGCGTCAAAAAAAAATAATAATAAATAAACAAAATAGCAACGTGATGGAATTTATTATCACTTATGCCCATATTTTCGTTGGTGAAATGCATTGTTGACGAATATTTTCCTTAGTTAAGAGGGTAATTTTAAAGTCGATGAATGTTATCGCCAGATAATGTGTTTTCATCTGATTTCCATTGAAGATTCTGAAAACTATCATACTAAATGATGTCTTGTTATATTTTTATTGAATTGTAACCGCTACTCCTGATTAACTTAGTAGGGAGTTCATATTTTCTTTTGCGTTAGGTATATATAATGCATTTATTAACTAGATAAAATGATTTTAAAGATCTAACGGACAATTACATAACTAGTTGTGGTCTAATATATAATACTAAGAATGATTCCCTGCACTGTTGTACCATGGTATATAAAAATTCTGGGTTTTGCAACACTAACATAGGGAGGACCGAACAAACACACGGGAGATCGATATTTTTTAATTCGCACGGGACCCACGTGCAAAATGTGAGGATCAGTCCCCCATTCTGTCAAGCAATTCGGTTGCTTCAACTTTATCCAAAAGTTCTAGTATTAGAAAGGTTTACGTATTGCATGAAGTAATGAGTATACATTTGTTGGGTGAAAAATTTTAATGTGCAATTTTTTTTGTGGAATGCTGTTACACCATGGATCTGGCAAAGGCTCACGTAGATATATACGTATGACGGCCAAGTGAAATTTTAAAGGGAAGATGCATGGCAGGACTGCACATTCGCCGCCCTCATAGGCGAAGATCGATATATCTGATTATGTCCTCGTCATATTATCATTCTTTCAATCTTCGTACGATGCTTGCAAGGTAACCAAAGGATTGTTGCATCCAGTAAAACCTGCCATTGGTGAATGGTGATGCCCCGATTTGCAAAATCAACATAATAATAAGAGGATCATAGATGGGTGGATAGACAAAAATATCCGGAGGAAGTAAATGAGGAAGGCCAAGTGGCTGGTTCTCGAAAGATACAAGCGCATAGAACCCATATTCACAATTTTGATCTAGAGATATCAGTTATGTGAAAGTCGTGTGCAACTTTAAAGTATAGTTTTGACAACTTGAGAACCCATATTCACCAATTTAAATATATCTCACTTTTTTTAAACTTTGAAAATTTATAATCACACTAAAAGTTAAAGGTTGAAGAGTCCAACCTTATCATTTAAAATCCAAAAGTAATGAACAAGGCTCATTTTCTCCCTCCAAAAATATGGTATGAAGGATATTTTATCTCTTAACTTTGTTCTTCTCCATATCCAGCAAGGCAGCAATTCAACTAGCCAAGTTGCAAAAAGAAATGAATCTCTCTCTCTCTCTCTCTCTCTCTCTCTCTCACGTACAACGAAGCTTTAGTCTTTGCCCCCCAGGGCACATCCAAGTTGGCGGAACAATCACATTGGGGGGCTCTGGAACCAAGTGTGGGGAGTTCGATTCCTGGTTGGAGCAGCCAAGTGATGTAATAACCAGAGGAAGGGTTGGAGCAGCTTGGTGATGTAATAACCATGGAGGAGGGTCCCTTTGGGGAAGGAGTAAAAGCCATGTGGGAACCTGGGAACAAAAGTTAAAGGTTGAAGAGTCCAACCTTATCATTTAAAATCCAAAAGTAATGAACAAGGCTCATTTTCTCCCTCCAAAAATATAGTATGAAGGATATTTTATCTCTTAACTTTGTTCTTCTCCATATCCAGCAAGGCAGCAATTCAACTAGCCAAGTTGCAAAAAGAAATGAATCTCTCTCTCTCTCTCTCTCTCTCTCTCACGTACAACGAAGCTTTAGTCTTTTGCTTTTGTCACTAAGTAGGCGCTTCCTCTTTTGGGCAGCATAGAAGATTCAAAAATAAGTCATTTCAAATCCAATTGTCACATTCTTATTTTTATAAGATCGTTTCTGACAGTTTTTATCAAGAAATACGTAGGGATTCATGCATTTGAACTCAATCCTTTGTATGACAATTTACAGCCAGAAACTGTGTGCCGGTGTGCGTGTGGTGGAGGTTGGATTGTAGAAATTTCTATGAAGCTAACTTTGAACCACGGACAGATAGTGATGATTCAATTAAATAAATAAAAGTAGATAATATTAAGGTTCCGTTTGTTTTCTATTCTTTGTCCCTAAAAATGAAAAATATGACCGATATCCATCATATTAAGCTACTATATTTGATTTCCTCTCTCTTGTGTGGGTCTCGCAACGATTATATTTTTCATTTTATTCTTATAAGAATGAGAATCAAACATGGGCTAAATTTTAGTTGTAAGTACAAGCTTTGTAAGTAAGATCAAACCACTCTTACCAAAAAGTTGTGTATTGATGACTTATAAGCTTAGATAAACATGTTAAAATATATATGAACGTGCTTAAAAGTAATTCAAACTTAATTACTTTTAAATTTTTTCTTGAATATCAAACCACATCTAAGGCAAACTTTATTCATCCTAAAATTATTTATACTCTTTGCCAAGCATGATTTAAAAGTTACTTTTCTAAAAATAAATAATTTTAATTTACTTTGTAAAAGATTAGTTTTTGAGCACAACAAACTTCTTTAAATGTGTCCTCTCTAATAATTCAATTTTTTAATAAAAAATGGTTCGATATGCCAAGCATGATTGTTATATATAACATCTCTATTAATAGAGAAAAATTACATATTATAATCAAAAATATATTCATCTAATTACTTTTTTCATAAAGTTTTATTAAAATTTAATCAATTTTTCAACTATTATAACTTCAATTTTAATCATACATTTCATTGACCTATAACTTTCATTAACTTTCGAATGCTTATTTTATCAACTTTTGTAATAATTGACAAAAACTTCCATTAAAATTTTTGTCATTCCATTTAAAGATTAAGACAAGGAACTAGTAACACCAGAGACCTCAACCTGCCACGCCTTAATTTCTCCATCAAAACTACCACTAAAAACCTTAACACAACCACCACAATCACTGCCATCCGCCTCCACTGCCGCCGCCAACGACTTCACCGGCTTCTGGTGCCCGTCTACCACAGTCAAACAACAATACAACCCATCAATCCTTCGTTGCCAAATCCTCACTGTCTGATCAGCTGACCCACTGAAGAGAAAATCATTAACAGTAATCAAACACAGTATCGCCCTTGAATGACCCCTCAATGCACCGGTCACCACCATATAATTTGCACTGTCTTCCCTTTCCCATACAAGAATCGACCGGTCACATGAGCCGGAAAATAATATATTTCCGGCGGAATTTAATGCCAGTGCATTTACAGCAGATTTATGCTTCTCTAAAGTTGCTATTAAATGAATTTTTTTCTCTTTTTTCTCCGGTGACTGCGTCCTTCCCCATACTTTGATCCGTTTATCAGCTGACCCTGTGTAGATTATTCCATCATTTGACACTACAACTGCGTTTATAGAATCATTATGTGCTGCAATGGATTCTGTGCATCGAAAATCAGAACCCCTCCAAATCTTTAAACTCTTATCCCATGAAATTGATAACACAGAATTTCCATACACTGCTAGCCCTGATACTGCATCATGGTGTTCAATCCAGAGTTTTTTCTTGTGGCGTCTTACCTATTAAAAGGTGTGAACGTGTTATACATTTGATAAACGACAAAACTTGTTAAAGTTTTAGACGAGTTAATTTGACGCTACCTTTACGTAGTTCTGAGGTAAAATGAATTTGCGAAAACGATCTTCAAGTTTTGGGAGAGTGGTAATGAGCTTGTGTTTCTTACGAATAGTTAATTTCCATACCCGGATTTTGCAATCTTGATGTGCAGTGAAGATTTTTCCGTTGCAAAAGGAAACAGACTTGACGGCACCAGACGAAATATCATCTCCACTAAAAGCATCGACAAGAGTATTATTTATTATCTCAAAAACATTGATTTCATTGCCAGAGGCAGCGTATAATAGGTTGTTATTGACAGCCATGAAATTGATGTGAACAGGCCGGCAGTGTTTAAGGGTTGTGAGAAAACGGGTGTCGATGGAGAGGTTTAAGTTTTCCGGCGAGAGTTTTTGGAGGGAAGGGACGGAAGGGAGGGTTAGGAGGGAGAGGTTGCTTTGGAGGCTGCTGGAAGAGGTTTCTTGGGATGAGGAGGAAAGGGATTGGACGTCGGAAGAGGTGTCCGATTGGAAAGGTTTAGTCGACGGCGTCGTGGCGCAGCCGCCGGAGGTGGTGATACAGGTGGCGGAGGAGCATGTTGATAGCCATGATCGGACCTTCATTTTGAGAGAGAGAGAGAGAGAGAGAGATGTACAAAAAGCCTAAGGAAAGAGAGTTGATAAAAGGGTTATTATATAGTAGTAGTAACCGGACAGCGGGAGTTTTGAATATTTTACATTTTTACTTTTATATTTATTTTTTCTTCTTTCTTTCTGTGATTTACGGTATGCAATAACTTAAAATATTATGCCCAGTTTGGCCCCCATTTTTTCATATTAAAATGGGGGAAATAGTATTATTTTGAAAAATGAGTGGTTGAAAAAGAATGAAAAATTTTCGATTTACGTGTATAATTATTTTGTGAAAAATTGTGTAATTGAAAATAAAAGAGAGAAAAATGAAATTTAATTTATTGGAGCGAAACGGCGCCAACGTTATAAGATAAGATTTCTGGTTGAGGGGCAAAATGCTTAGAGTTTCAAAAGAATCTCGTGCAGTGAATTTATGCTTAAGAGTTCCCAAAAAATCTCATGCGGTATAACTACTCTTTTGAGTCAACATGAACACCAAGAGTTGAAAGTCGAGAGTCGAGAAAGTGAAAAAGTTTAGATACCTCAATAATCTAACCATAAAATGATAAGCAATGCAATCAATAAATTGTTTGTATCCAAACATGGTAAACTTATTTTTAATGCAAAATACTTGGAAGTCAAACTAGCCCCAATCCCAATAGTTACAATGTTGTATTTTTGTTATTAATAAAGCTCTACTTATACAGTGGTAATATAACAATAAATAGAATGATATACGTTTAAAAGATAAAATTAACTGAAACCATGTTTTTTTAAGTTTTAATTTCATTAATTTATTATTATTTTTTTTCCAAAATCGTGTGGTCACTAATTAACAAGTCACATCCCAATAACATATATCACTACTATATAAAAAAGTGAATGGAAAGATATTGAAGTTAGGAACAATGAATTCTTTCATTTTATCACACTGTAGCAAAAAAAAAAATTCATCATGGGAGCAAAAACGATGGCGTATTGTCTTCAATTATTTCTCCATTTTCACACATCAGTTTACTACAATATCATCTCCACTGCAGTATTTCTCCATTTTTACATACCACTTCACTTCATTTACACGGTCGGTGCAATGACTTTTCATTTCTTCTTCCCTTCCTTCTTCGTTCCTTGTCTTTTGCGCCTTCGGTACCTTCTTTTTCTTATTTGGATTTGAGTGATTACATGTGTTTGTTTTACGAAGTTTAATGGATTTTTTTTTTTACCCTCTTTTGGATTTTTAATTTTTTGTGACTTTCTATTACTCGATAGCAGGAATTCATTGAAATTATAAGCGATATTTTGGTCTTTTTGACTTAAATACTTGGTGGGTGCTTTGGATTCTTGTAATCACGATACGTTTGAAGAATCCCACAGTATTTTGGTGATGAATGTGGGTGGTCGGAAATTGGGTTATTTGGAGATTTTCTACGATGAGAAAAAAAAAATTGCTATAGTGTTATATTCACTCATTACCTTGATGTTTGAGATGAATTTTTTTTTTCCAAAAATGGAAAAAAAAAAAAGCACTAAAATCGAGAGTCCTAATTTTAGGGATTATTCTCTAACAAACAGAATTCAAATTTGATTTAAATTCATTGAGATATAACCAAAATAAAACGTACTAAAAAAGAAAACAACTCATAAGCGAAGATTTAAACGAAGGAATTTGCCCGAAATTGACCCCACTTCAACAGCAAAGCTGCTGAATTTTGTTAATTAGCACTTTTCCAATCAAATTTTACTAAAATTTCATAAAAAACGGACAATCTCAAAATTTCTCCAAAAATCAAGAAATTGTAATTCTTAACTTAAAGAAAGGAGAAAAAAAGAAAAATTTCTCCAAAAATCGTGCATGCTCCGTGCTACACGGAGCGCACTCTCCATGTGCACTCCATATTGTACGGAGTGTGTTCACAGAGCGAACGTCCATGCTCATTTCTCTACCCCCATTTCATACTTGAACCAGTTCAGCTACTATTTAGTATTTGGTTTCTCACTGTTCATGTCTATTGTAAAAACAATGCCATATGATGATAAAAATACCATGTGGTAGAAAATTATCTAGGCATTTCCACCATACTCTTCTATGATCATTTTATCATGTGTTTGACTCTCTCGGGCTCTGTCTCTCGTTCTACGATACGTCTTCTTTGTAGGGAATTTACTTATAATATGCAGCAGAAGCAAATTTCAATTCCCACCAATGATCTCTTTGTATTTTTAGATAAAAATGTACCTTTAAAGAGATTTGCAAACTTTTTGCATTTCTTTTTGTTCCAGTAACATCGATCTGTCACCCACAACTGTCCAATTGTCCAGTCTCCAATAATAATCCACATAGAGAAATAGATTGTGACAACTAGGATTTTTCTTGTGCTAGCAAGAATAATAATATTTTTTTCTCTAGAGCCAAAACCCTAGTTACCTGCTTATACAAACCCAAACGGGCTTAGCCCATCTCCTAACCCAATCCAAGATTTAATTAATCCATTTAATTAAATTCGGTCCATGTATTAATTAATTCAAGCCAATAAATAATTAACTCAATTTAATTAATTTATCCAATGCTCATTAAATTAATTAATTTGTAAAATACAATCTTCCAATTCTCCTTTTGTGTATGACCCATCAGGTTCCTAATCACGATACCTAATGACGTGAATTATTATTTTGATCTAATCAAAATCGATAAATTAGAACACCATTTTAATTTATCACCTACTTACGTTTGCCATCTCAGATTGACATCTAACAATGTGTCAGAACAATATATGTGACGAAAAATATCACGTGGTATGACAAAACCAAACTTATTCGTTTGCAACAAAATTTTAATCCTTTCGTCAATATGATCTGATCAATTACGAGATATGAATGAGTGTTAATCTCAACTATCGATCATATCTTTCATTCCACTATTAAGTCAATATAAGTTGAAAGCTCATTTTCGACTTATGAATACACATTGACCAAGGATTTCATTATTAACTTAACTAAATGAAATGTAGATCATAATATCTTACTATCTAAGAATGACGAATTCTCTATTGGTCATTCATAACCTTCATATGATTTTTGACATACCCGAACGACGCCGTATTAGCGGCCCTTGGCAAAGCAATATCCAACATCGCCAAAGTATGACTGTCCTCATAGAATGCACCATGATGACATCAACTCAAATGACTAATTCCACTACCGAATGTTAGAGATTAACAACTGACACTCAGATAGTTATCCATGTGGAATCTCTAAACGAGTCTCTAATGCTTTGTTATACAATAAGACATCAACGTGTTCATTTAAGTGTCACCACACTTTAACTTGTGAAATTAACTATTTACTTCATAAGTAAGAAATGCTACACGTGATGATCTATCCGTAATAATAATATTAATATCTCGTTATTACTTACGATCACGGACTATTTAAGATTCAATCACACATAATTTGTATCTTACAATCACAACTCCTAATAATTAACAAATTATTGAAATTTGGATCTGCAGACTCTATTATTTAATATAATTGAATATTAATTAAATAATAGATTTACTATAAAATCACATCAATTATATATATTAAAAGTGTTTATGTTCAAGATTGATTGAACCTAGGGCATAACACTTACAAACTCCCACTTGCATTAGATCCAATCACTTATGAATCCAATATCATAAGAGTCTACATGATGATCATATTTATACTGCGACAACTCTTTGTCAGTGGATCTGCAATTTTATCAATTGTGAGAATTCATTCATTTCTTTATGTCATTTATTTGTATTATATCTTTGATATAATGATACGGTCATAATTCATGTTTGGATCATTGATGAGACCTTAGTTCCTTAGCTTATGTGATGACTCTATTGTTATTACAATATAATTGCATGTGATCAACAATGTTAGGAACTACTCCAAGTTCATTAATGAACATCCTGATCCACACTTCAACTCTTTGCTTCTTCTAATGCAATCATGTATTAGGTTTCTGTTATTGAATCAACGATTATTTCATGTTAGGAACCTTTCCAACACACAATTTAAGAGCAAACCAATTTCTACATATAAAAGCTTCTCAAGATTTAATTCTATGTAGATTGGGACGAGTTAAACAATCTTTTAGATCTATGTTATACCTCATTCAATTACAGTCAAAGTCAAGAAATTATATAGTCAAAGTTAAAGCCAAATAAGGATTTAAGTTGGAAGAATGATTTTCATGGGGTTTAAATTGAATTTGCCAGTACTTAAGAGGGCCCAAAATGATATAAAAATAAATTTTGGGATTTAGCTTCTAGTATGATAAATAAGATGACTAAATGTAAAATTATATAAAGGTTGGGGACTTGTATTGTAATTATAGTTATGGGGTGAAAATTGAAATACCTTAATATAAAAAAAAATTAAAAAGAAAATGGTCAGGCGGTGAATTGGATTGATAATTCACACACAAATGAAAAGAAAAACCCATTTTCACATATACATAGAGAGAGAAAAAATGAGGCAGGAAGAGAAATGAGAAAGGAAAAAGAAGAAAAAAAGGAGAAGAGGGGAAAAAAAAAAGAAAAGGGAAAGTTCGCCTATGTTGTTAGAAAATAAGTGGTCTACATTATTAGGCTTGAATTCCTCAATTTTGAAAGGTAAGTAAAAAGTTACTTATTGTCAAGTTATATTTAATTTTATAGTTGTTAGATTGTTAGATTAAATTCAATTTTTTTAAAGGAGTTAAATATAATAAGCTATGAAATTGAGTTAAATGAAAGAAAAACTAGTTTTAGTGATTAAAGAGATTTTAGAAATCGCTTAAACGTGAAATGATTAAGTTTATGTATCGCCTATTTAATTATTGAAATTACTTAAAATAATTAATTGTTTATTTAAAAATTATATTGTATTTGAGACAGCGATACGGACAATTGGACAGCGTGCCATCAGAGTTGATTTTACGAACATAGTTCTGTGAATGAAAAAATATAAATATTTTTAAAGTATTTATAAATTAAGTATACCGTTAAAGTATGTGCAA